ACCTTCCCTGAAAATGTATGCCTTGCCCTAGCTAACTTGTGCCCAGCCAACCTAGCAATCCATTCATAACCGCTCTACTATAAGTATGACACACACCTGTCCTAGATAATTATGTATGAGCCTTACCCTGACACTCCCAAGATTTACCTTCAGACCCTTATCAAGCGTATTAGTGTTCACAAAATGCGCTTCATAAGACAGTGTGCATTATTTTTTTTTGCTAGGCCGTATGTAGTTTCGGGAAGAGTGTTATATGCCAACACCAATCATATCGACTGAGATATCGGGAAGATTAGTGTGACTGATGGTGGTATCATATCCTTCATGGAACTGTACAGGCCACATCAAAAAACAAGGAGTCGTCACGATGAGGCTGATACTTTCATATAAAGCAGGATTTCAGATGGCAATAAACCTGGTAACATCCAGTCAAAACAGAATCTCTCTTCATCTTTCTCAACAGGCCTGGGATGCATGCAGTAGCGGGGGGGGGGGGGGGGGGAGGGGCGCACCGCTGATTTTCAGATACCAGTGCACCCCATTCAATTTTGTATGAAAAGCCGGCCGATCTAAATATGCTCTCAGTGTGAGGGGAGGGGGCTGGATCCGTGCCTGGAACTATTGGTTGGCAACAACAGGATTGATGTCTCAAAATTTAGCAAAGTTTTTTGAAAGGAAACAGCCCGGTGTTACTGAAACACTGACTGGTCATTAAGCCCTGTCTAGCTTTGACTTAACGTCGCGTATATTCAAACGGACAAAGTCAAAAGCTTTCAAAGCATTGAGATGAACGCCAAACACATTTGCTTTATTCTTTTATTATTTATTAAGTCATGTTTAACCAGGTTGGTCTCATCAGTGGTCGAAACACTGTTCTCAGTACAAGAGGGCCCCGATTCATAGAGCTCAGATCCCTAAGAAGACATAGTGGAGGTGTAATAGCTCTCTTGCAAAATTGAAGGAAATAAATTATTCTTCTGTCATGCGCAAAAACACTCAAACACAGGAATAATTTCTTGGAAATAAGGCTGGAAATCAGCTCAGAACTACGTCGAACCATGCAGAGTGGCATTCAGGAACTGCAGTCCCAGAGTCTCTCACTGACCTAAAGATTCACATACCACACCTACGGAGGATGGTGACATTGTCGAGAACGAGGGGTCACACGACGTTTGTAGGGAGAAAAGTGATTGAGAGCAACTTCGGACTCAATGATGAAGAAGAAAAATGACGCTTAGCAAACTCAGTAATGATTATAAGCCCTTTTGACATAAGTGAATGTTATGTAAACATTATTTTATGGAATTTCAATATCAATTAAGATGGACATGCATGCATTTTTATATTTGCATACCTTGTCGATTTCCTGATAATGGTGAATGCGTCAGAGGTAATATGAGCTTAAAATGTTTCCATATTTCTTTATTTTATTCTTCCATTCGAATATTGACCGCCAATATGCGGTTCACAATCTCAGAAACATAGGAAAGTTATATGGGTGGTAGGGTAAAGTGGGGTTAGTGGGACAGTGGGGTAAGTGGGACAATTGGAGGATTTTTCTCTTTTTCTTGTATTAGGAGATAGAGTTAGTGGAGGGAACATTTTACAACGAAAAAACAAAATACCTAGCCACAAATTGGATGCCTCCTTGGAAAAATTTAATAAACATTAGAGGAACAAGCATAACAAATCTTCAACCTCTCAATATTTTATTCGAAAAATCCCCCCCTCCTTAGCTATTTTAGAAATAACAGAAAATAAATGACGATGTTTGGTGTCTGACTTTTATGAAAAAGAGTAGTTTGGTGACGTAATTGAATGATTGCAAATAAGGTATAAGTAGTTAGTTCAACAAAATATACAAGTATTTGCATATACATTTGTTAATATCCCCCTACATGGTTGTTGTATACCTACATTGTCCCATATACCCCCATCGTGTTGGGGTAAGTGGGACGCGCGTGCAATTCCAATGCGCATTCATGTATCAATCGCGGTATCGACTTTCCCAAGTTCTCTATACGTATTGCACGCTGTCCCACTTACCCCTACATGTTGGGGTAAGTGGGACAATGTAGTGGCCCTGAATAAACCGTCACCCTGACCTTGATTATGAAGATTATTTATCCAAAAGCTTGTCACAAATTTGTATCTATTTTAAGCTCTAATTAAGATGCTTGATTAATTATTTGAACGTTTGGTATTTTTATAAAATGCAATCAAAATCTTAAGTGTCCCACTTACCCCACTTTACCCTAATGGTTTTCCGCACGACTCTATAATGGAAGAAAATAAACAAATTTTATATACTCTATAACTGTAATAGGGTAAACTGGGGGAATATGGAGCCCTTAAGCACAAAATGAGAGTTTTGAACATGTAAAAAATATTCTTTTCACTTCTCTCTTTTACTGGTGGAAGAACTATTTATTCCTTACATAAAAACACATAAGTTAGAAAAAAAAACAATTGTCTTGTATAAATTAAAGACAACATAAACAAAAGTGTCACAGGATCCATATTACCCCAATGAACGGGGTAATATGGAGCCCACAAACAAATCTCCATATACCAAGATTTTATGAGCTGTTATAGTACAATTAATTTTGTCTCGCATACTATTTATGAATTTTCTTCAGTGACATGGGTTTTTTTTACTTTGATTCAATAATGTTATTCATGTAATAATAAATTATAATACTCCTGGTTGAAAAAAATTCCCCTCAATGCCAGGAAGGCATTATGTCACTGCAAAAACAAGATCAAAGTTTATGGTTGTGATTGCTAAATGTAATTTTGAATGGATTGTGTCCATTCATGTCTGGACATGTCATTAGGCATTATTAAACACCAATACATGGAATGAATCAAGATTAAGTGGCAGTTCCATACAGAAAAACATTAAAAAAACATGGCATTCATAGATCGTTTTTCTCGAAGCAAGCTTCTGCATGTGTGTCCCATGTGTGTACGTACGCTGTGGAATGTCAAGACATAATCCCATGCAAAAGCTGTTGATAAATCATTCACAAAATAAAACTGTAATATCTGAGGTATCAAAGTATTTACTGTTATGACTGTGGTGGTGGGGTATAGGGGGCAGAAATTAACCATGAGTATAGGCCTACATGTACATTGTACAAGAGGGAAACAAACTTGAAATCTTTAACATGTTGGTGATTTATATGGAAAGTTAAATGGGCCTGTCTTGTTATTGTTCATCCACACTACAACCACCTGGCCCCTTGATTAACATCATTAAAAGAAAAAGAGAAGCAATTAGTTAAGCTCTCTCAGTCAGAACAGTAATACTATACTTTAATAGAATATAATAGTTATAATGTTCATGATGATGAATGTATGCGATAAGGGCGGAATGAACGGACAATAAAGGGGAGAGAGGAGAGAAGAGGGAATTGCAGGGGTAGAAAGAGAGAGAGAGAGAGAGAGAGAGAGAGAGAGAGAGGGGATGAGAAATAATGGGGAAGAGAGGAGTGGAGGGGGAGTTATACATCGACAGTGAAAAAGATAGGCTATAGATAGCTATTGGCAGCAGTAGATAAATATGAATATTGTGATAAACAATGATAATATTATTAATAATAATAGTGGCTGCATATGCAACCCAAATGAATGCTCTGCACCTACAAAGTATCACTATTCCCCTGGATATAGGCAATCTGCCTTAGGCTAATTACCCACTGAAGATATTCACGGAATTATTTCCAACCCGGTCACAGGCCTATTCATGTTAAAAACTGATATTTCAAATGATGAATGGTAGTTGAATTAAATAAAGGTATAAAAGAATACAATCTGCAGATGAAAACAATGCATTTTAATATTAGTTTTGTATAAATAAGCTAAGTTTAAAGCATGAAAGTACAATAATCATATGTAACGGTCGGTGAGGGCGCTGTTTATCAGGGACGCAAATAATGAATTTTAAGCCAGAAATTTATTTAACATGCTTTCATGCTCTTGAAAGCGAAAGACTTACTGCATATTCATGTCAAGTTTAAGAGCAAACGGTGAAAACAATCGGAATTGAGAAGAACTTCAAATATTCAAAGCCAAAACTGACATAAAAACAGAAAAAAGTACCGCATTTCGGTGACATCGCCCCCCGCATCGCCCTCGATTTCTATCATCGTAATCGTCGCTCTCAGATGTGCTATCACCGGGAAAAGTTATTGCGTTATCTGGTATACTCTAGGCAAGTCAAACGTTAAACAAAAATCACAAAATTAGCACTTAAATGAGCGAGGGGACGTGTTATGTGTGATGGTGCAAGATACACAGTTCAACCTCCGGTAGTGACGTCACACATTGGGTGATTTTGTCGGGAAAATTAACCCACAGAATTCTGTGGGAAAACCCCGGTTAACCCGGCAGCAATTCATTTTCGTGAGGCCCAGGGTCCATCCTATCGACCTACGAGGTCAGTTGTTCCGGCGCTTTTCACTTGAATAAATCTTCCGGGCTCCCGGTCTATAATTACTCTCAAACGCCTTCTTCCATTTCCAAAACTTCTCCCTCAAACCTTCCATTTTCTCACTTATCAAAAATCATCAGCATAATATACAACATCTCGCTAACCAAACCTTCTCTTGCACTCTCCGCAACCACATCAATCACACAAAAAATATATATATATCAGGTTACTTCTATGTACCGGGCGGCACTCATTACACCCCCCCCCCCCGGTAATTCTGATGTCCTTTTAGGATTGATTTAGAAACCAGGCGCCACAGTACTCCCAAAATAATGGAAATGTACGACTGAGAGAACCTTATTATGAATACGTAGGGCCTACTCAGTCGTACATTACCATTGTATTGGGAATACTACGGTCAGTTTCAGTACAACCATTGAGTCGCAATGTATGGCAACCTATTTATTTTTTGTATTTATTTTGTTTCCTTGTTTTTTCAATAATGAAAATATTAACATTTTGTTTACATTAACAAAGCACATCACTGCAATATAGAAAAATCTGATCAGGCTAACCGTCTTGTATGTTTAATGTTCCAGGACATAATACAATTTACAACAAGAATTCTGTTTTGTGATATCACTAATTCAAATTTGTAATATCAAGAATTCAGTGTGAATTCCAACATTACTGCACATCACTGCAATGTAGACAAATCTGACTAGTTAGGTTAACAGTCTTGTATGTTTAATGTTCCAGAACATAATACAATTCACAACAAGAATTATGTTTTGTGATATCACAGATTCAATTTGTGATATCACTAATTCAAATTTGTAATTTCAATAATTCACTGTGAATTCCAACATTATTTTTGCGCAGAAATTCAACAATAACAATGTTATGACCTCATAGAAGGCACCAATCCTGCCCAAGCAGCAGGAAAAAGATGTTACTTAGGTGGTGTGATTCGGCATGGTTGCAAATTCAAATTACAAAGAGTCAACCCCCTAATCCAGTACGTGCTTCTCACCCTTTCTTAACTCAAGGCCCACTTTGCCACTTATTAATTTGACAGTAAAGCTGAACTCAAGCTGGTTCATTTTTATTCTAAAACAATGTTTTGGCCATCCTCATGGCCCACTGGTTGAGAAGCGCTGCTCAGTTTAACACTGGCGAAGATTCGAGCAGTGAACCTATTGTTCAGGGGGGGGGGGGGGGGTGATCTACTTGAATAGTGTGACGTCACATATCTACGCCCTGCCCGCTGCTCTAATCCATGCTGTTGAGTTTATTACCATAGCCCTCATATCTCAAGGTTTGTTCAGATATGGCGCAACAAACCCAAACAATTTTAATGTACAAGTCAATGGAATATAAGGCGACCAAAAAAAAAAAAAAAAAAATGTTGGCGAGGCAGGAGACAATTTGTTGCCGCCTGACTTCAAAAAGCTTTGGAACAAATAAATTCCTAAAAAGTAAATGCAAAATGATGTCATGAGTTTGTCTGCAAATTTTTTGACAAAGATCCCTTTTATTTGTGATTTAATTCAGGTTCATTAACATAAGTGTGGGGGTTTGTTGCGCTGTATCTATAAACACTTACAATACTGAAGGAATTTTACACATCCTATCCAACAAGCCCTAAAGGCCACCGCACACCTTACGACTGGTCTACGACTGGATTTTGAAAGAAATTATGATAGGATTAGATATAGAATGTTTAGAATGTAAATTCCTACTGATTGAGGTCCCGAATTGTCATGTCAATATCAATATAAAAATTGCAGGGTGTTATGGCCTTTTCAGTTGGAGAAAAGGCCCGATCGGCTGCGAATCGTAGCGACGTCACACAGGCACGACTGGCCACCAACTGGTAACTGGGAGATTTGGCCTTTTCTCTGTCTGAAATACTTCAAATACCATATATTTTCGATAATTATATTGATATAACCATTCTGGACCTCAGTCAGATACAAATTTTCAAATTGAAACTCAATTTCTCTTCAAATTGCAATTTCTTTCAAAATCCAGTCGTAGACCAGTCGTAAGGTGTGCGGTGGCCTTACTCCTAAAGCAACATATGAGACTCCACAGTAAAAATGTCACTTTTCGCTATTCCAGTTATTAATACAGGCATATCATTTCATTTGTCACAGTGTTTATTACAGACCCATGATTGTACTTGTGGACCTACACTGCTTACAACCAGGCCTGCTTACAACTTCCCAATTTTACTGTCTCAGAAACCTGCATCCAAAACTACGTGAAAATTTGCTGTCACACACCAAATTTCAATATCCATAGGATTGCTAAGTGTTCTATGAATGCACAAAAATACATTAATTGATGCAAACCACAATAATTTTCCAATTGAGTCACCAGTTTGATAATTTTCTTGGTGCTATGCAGTTATAAACAATTAAAAATATCTTGTTCTTCATGTAAGGAAAGATAGATAAATAAATAAAATCATAGCAGCAAGCCCAAATGACGATGCATTTACAGATACAGATATTCAAATTGAAGAAATTAACAAAAATATACGAAATAAGTAATATAATTAAATTGGTGTGTCATATAGAATATCAAAAAGATCTTTAAACAAGAGCACCGCAAGTCGGAGCATTATACGCCCGAAGTTTCACCTTTATGCACATCTACACATCAATATCATCCAACCATGCAAGTTTGAGGAAATTTCATTACAAAGTAAATGAGTTATCCACACAAGAATTTTTCAATATTTTTTTAGTAAAATGTGGTTACCATGGCAATGCCTTGTCGTACCCAAGTTATATCACCTTTATGCACATCTACACATCAATATCATCCATCCATGCAAATTTGAAGAAATTTAATTAAAAAGTAAATGAGGAATTATCCGCACAAGAATTTTTCAATTTTTTAGTAAAATGTGGTTACCATGGCAACGCCTTGGCGTACCCAAGTTATATCATCTTTACGCACATCTACACATCAATATCATCCATCCATGCAAGTTTGAAGAAATTTCGTTAAACAATGAATGAGGAGTTATCTACACAAGAATTGGCTAACGGACGGACGGACGGACGTCATACCATAATACGACCCTTCGGCGTATAAAAAGTGTATGTGAAATAATGGTTTATTGGTGTGCTGTTGTAGCACTTACAGTATGTATGTTTTGGACAGTAAAATTACTCAATATTTTAGTTTCAATAAACCAATGATCGTTTTCTTTAAATTGCGTATATTGCATCAGAAATTTATTAACACCATGTATAGTGAATCAAAACATAAACATACACAGTGTAACAACAAAAGTGATAATGAGCATGCATTGGTGTATCCTATACACTGTGAGTAAAAAAAAAGGAACCTAACTTTAGTAGCTTCTTATAAAAATATTATAACATATGAAACCTTGAGATGTATCTAATTGTAAAGAATAACCTTCACTCTGTCTACCGATACCTCATTTATGATGTTTCTGTCACGGATGACTGAGCACTAAGATTTTCAATTTTTGGGGGGTCAAAATCGCCTTGTACCAAGTTTGACCTTAAGCAATGGGTGTGTGTCAAAGGCTTCTAATCACATGTTACTTTGTCTGAAATCGTTTTTAAATGATAAAATATGTTTTGTGTTTCAATTATTCAGAGTTAAGTGATTTTAAGTATCTAGACTTTCACAGGGATTTTATTTTAGGTTTCATTGGCTGTGGATGCACTTTGAACTGCCTACAAACCTCTTATCTTAGAATGTTATCTTGCCACAAAACCATCTGTTTATTGGTCGATTGCACCAACTTAGCTGAATAAGTTATCTAGCTCACAATCTACATTAAATTAATAGTTAACTAACCTAAAAGACTAAAAAAATACAAGGAAGGCCTGTTTAGAACACATATGCTAGTGTTTTGAACTGTGTTTTTACTTCATTTGAAAGAAAGCTTCTTCACTACCAACATTCTGAAGCTGACACACTCAATAAAGAAACTCTTACATACGAGGAATGTTGAGGAAACCAAGATTGTGTCTTAATGACAACAAAGATATCTTAAATATTGCTTGTAATAAGGATATTCTTTCATTTAAAGTTCAAATCAACACCTTTTCTAGTCAAATACACAAAATCAATTTAAAAAGCTTAGCCATTATTTCAAGACTCCAATAACAAATCCATAGTAGCTTTTGACGCACACGTATTGCTTAAGCCCAAACTTGATACAAGGCGATTTTGACAAAGCTTTTTGAAACTCCTGGTGCTCAGTCATCCGTGGCAGGAAAAGTATGAATAAGGTATCAGTAGACAGTAAAGTTACTCTTTACAATGAAATAAATTGCAAGGTTCCATATATGTTATAATATTATCATAAGAAGCTACCGAAGTTGGGTTTCCTTCTTTTTTTTACTCACACTGTATAGGAGAATTAAAAAACAATGTGTGAAGAAGTGGGTAATGGAAGTGCTGTTAAAACATACAGTAGGTATGTTTGATTACATGGAAAAGCTGTTATTTTAAATACGTATATTAATACATATTTTGAGTGGCACTATGCATAGTGGATTGAAACATAAACATAAATAATCGAATGGATAAATCAATATACATGTATAAATCATTAATATTAGTTATGATCATTATATTGGTGTGCCCTATTAAAAACAGATGATTTTAAAAAAATTGTAATTTTCACCTGTAGCAAGTGGATAAAATTTGGTAATTGGGCATGTTTTGTGACATCATTCTTACATCATACAATGGAAAGGGGGGGGGGGCATACCGAAACTATGTACTGGCAAACATATCAGGGCTTATACCTTTCAAGGGCCTCCTCCCCTCTTGGTACACATCAATACTAAAATGTTTTGGTCAGACCGGAGTTAGCCTGAATTCATGATAAATACTCTTGCAGTGCTAAAACACAACAGACAATGTATGTATACATAAATTTGAAGAACATACTGAAAGATCAATCTAAAATGCCAGCAAACTCCAAATCACTCATTGGGAGTTGAAAACGCTTCAATTTCATATGTGAAGACCCTATGGAGGTATACATGTAGGGGCAGCTAAAGAGACACACAGGCATATATAGTTAGAAAAAAAAACGAGAAATTAATGAAAAGGAGAGAGATGGTTACGCTTAATACTAGGGCCTATTCCTATTGGGCCTAAACTCATTAAAATTATAGTCTACTACATGAAGGAAAGAGAAGAAATGCCAAGAATCTGAGACTTCCCATAACATGACTCTTCTGCAACAGAAAATATCAATCAGTTTGAGGGCTAGTAGTGTAAGCTATATTGTGTGTATACCATAAGCCCGCCCGTGCGCACGGTGCGGTGCATCAGCGCCAAGGGTTACAACATGGTGCCTGTTATCAAGTTGGCCAAACTCTGTGTATAAAGGGCTCTGGAGTGCACTGACAGAAAGTTCTTATGTGGGTGAAACAGGAAGAACACTGAATGACCGATTAAAAGAACACAAAAGGGCCCTCAGATTAAACAATCCAACCCACTCAGCAGTGGCCGGAACACGCCCTCAATACTGGACATAACATTCGCTGGGATGATACACAGATCATAGACTTTGAATCTTATTTCTGGCCAAGGAAGGTCAAAGAGTCTATCTAGATAAAAAGCATTAATCCAGCACTCAATAGGGACACTGGGTACGCATTGTCACCTATCTTCGCTCCAGTGATCGCCAAGACAGCAACTGTGTGACAAATCAGTTGACATGAGGAAGTCTGCAGGAGCAGACGAAAGCTCGCCCCAATCATTTTTAAGTTTGGTAGAAGCGAAATACTTGTATATCAAGAAATCGCTGTGTGTGGCAAACTAAAGAATGAAAAAGTTCACCCGGTGCATTAGAGAATAATTTCTACTGGTTGCTTTCCATTTTTTTTACCAAGCGATCTCTTTTTGATTTTTCATTCATGACCTTGCTTCTGATGACTTTGAAGTTTCTAATCTTGAAATCAGGATATGCTGCCAAGAACTGGTGAACCTCTCTCTTACCTACAAAAGAAAATGAAAGGGAAAACACATGAAAAAGCATTGAGCAATGTAAACAAAAATAACTAGATTTAAAAAAAACAGAGCGATGATGATGAAACAAAGTTTGATTTTTTGTCCTCTCTAAAGCACAAAATAATTATAATGTACTTCTTTTTTGTTCCAGCAATTTCTAGTCTGTGTATTTCAAAAATGAAACCACTGAAAATATTTCTTCTGGCTCTTCTTGAAATTACACACACAAGGCATGAAAGGCAGTTTGACCACCCTTTGACATTGGATATCCTTAACGATCCTTCTCACAGGCTTTTACCAAAGACTTGGGTCACGTCGCACTCGAAAACACCTGTGTTTTGGCTTGTGCAGCTAATTTTTTTGTAATGGTGTCTGCAATGGGCCAAACACGCTGGGAAAAAAATCTTAATTTAAATTATCAACTGCTCTTAACCATTTTTTTTATGGCTGTCTTCAAAGGGGGCCGTGCGAGGGGAAATTTGTTTTAAAAAGAAGTTAAAGTTGCGATTGTTTTGTTTTTGTCAATGATGAAAAGAAAGAAGACAAGAACTAAGGCTGACATAATACAGAACAAGGCGGTTCACGAACCACGAGTCTCGCCCGATTTCGTGGTCAATAGAACGTGGAAAATTTTACCCCCCAAAAAAGGATTTTAAACAATTAGCATTTTGAGCCCTAGATTCCTTTGACCCCATCCTCCTACAGATCTGCTTACATACATGTACAACTTGACACTCAAACTGCATATACATGTATGTATGCATTTGAATAAATTTGCATAAATTAACCTAATTAATGAATTTCAAAATTCTGTGTACAACTTTTCAACCCTGCACCTAGCCCTATGAGATAAAACAATCAGAATCAAAATCGGTCGAAAATGAGGGAGAAGAAGCATGTTTTGTGAATTATGAATAAATTTACATAAGCTATAATTACTGGAGTAAAATTTCAAAATTATGTGTACAAGTTTTGTGTAGCCAACGAAGCTCTACCAAATAAAACAATTATAATGAGAATTAGGTCAAGAAATGAAGAAGCATTTTTTGTGAATTTGAATAAATTTGCATAAATTAACATAATTAATGAATTTCAAAATTCTGTGTAGAAGTTTTGAACCCTGCACCTAGCCCTATGAGATAAAACAATCAGAATCAAAATCGGTCGAGAAATGAGGGAGAAGCATTTTTTGTGAATTATGAATAAATTTACATAAATTATGATATTTAATGAATGGAGTAAAATTTCACAATTCTGTGTACAAGTTTTGTGTAGCCATCTAAGCTCTATCAATTAAAACAATCAGATTCAAAATCGGTCAAGAAATGAAGGAGAAGAAGCATTTTTTGTGAATTTGAATAAATTTACGTAAATTAGCATAATTAATGAATTTCAAAATTCTGTGTAGAATTTTTGAACCCCGCACCTAGCCCTATGAGATAAAACAATCAGAATCAAAATCGGTCCAGAAATGAGGGAGAAGAAGCCTAATTTAACATTTTGTACACACACAGACACACAGACAGACAGACACACAGACACACGTACGGAGCCCGTTTCATAGTTTCAAAATGTGTAAAAAAATTGTGTATAAAGCCAATGAAAATTTGTCCAGGTTGTGACATCAAGGAGTTGCCAATTTAAGAGTATGACAATAAGTTGAAGTTGTACATGAAAAAGTTCATTGACCCTTGACTATAATGGACTTCAGAAAAGGATAATATTCTTTACATAACATTCATATGAAACTATAACACTACTGAGCTCTCCTACCTGAAGTTATGGAAGAAACCAAAACTTCAACATTTCCATAATGTCTGTACAGTACATACAGTATATGTACAGTATATATTGTGTATACAGGACACTGGCCTGAAACTTTAACCAAAACTTTAACTAAGTTTAAAAGATTATAAAATCCCTATTCCTTGACAAAACGCAGAGCATGGGGGTGCATATGAAAGAGGACACTCTACTGAATCATTTGAATTAGGTTTCAAGACAATTGGTCACAGGGTATTGGAATTATAGACATCTGAACTTAACCATGCAAACTTTAACCTGCAACAGACACTGGCCTGAAACTTTAATCAAAACTTAACCAAGTCTAAAAGGTTATAAAATCCCTATTCCTGGACGAAACACAGAGTATGGGGATGCATATACAAGAGAACACTCTACCAAATCATTTGAATCCAGTTTCAAGACCATTGGTTGCACGGTATTGGAATTCAAGCCATAGGAATTTGACCAATCAAACTTAAACCTGAAATGTTGACAACGCCGCCGTCGCCGCCGCCGGAAATAGTGACGCCTATGGTCTCGCTTCTGCTTCGCAGGCGAGACAAAAATTAAAGATTTTAAAGGATTTTCTAGACTGACATATGAAAATAAAATGAGGAATGAAACTTAAAGGTATTGCGCAGTGTTGGTAAAAGACGAAGGGGTAAAAAAATAGATTTCCTTCACTTTCTTATTTTTTGATACACTTATGAGGGTAGAACACAACTCCGTAAAAGTTCACTCTGAAATGCCTCCATTTTCGAGAAATCACATGTTTAGTGTTGATTTTTGGGATTTATCGGGTACCCGATGAATACGGCTAATTCGCTTGATGCTGAATATCTCACGGATAAAAGTGTTTCTGATCTTACAAATCACAGGTAAGGTTCTTTTTATGTTGATACATCTCAAAATAAAGAAAAGTTGGGAATTTTTGAAGGAGAACACTGTTTTTAAAGGGGAAAACAGATTTGTCTGGCCGGACAGATATCGTCGAATGTACTTGTCCTTTTACAGCTTCCAAGGCTATTTGAAGAAAATTGATAATCGATTTGGTCTTAGATCATCTAGATGCACCAAGAAAAACACATTTAATCAAAATCCGTGACCTTGGCCAACACTGTGTATTACTTTTAATAGGTTGGCAATTACTAGGAATGATGGAAATATAGAAAGAGAAGATAAATTATGGAAAACAAAGAAAAACTTATAAAAGAAAAAAGGAAAAGAGAGAAATCCAGACACAAAGAGTACTACAAGACGAATGGAAAATTGCAATGATTGAAGATAAACAAAAAAAGAAATATGCATTGCCAAAAGAAAGAGTGATGGGAAAACAAAGGAATACATCAAGAAAGGGACGATAAAATGAAGGACAACCAAGAAATTACATCAAGCAAGCATTTATGATGGGAAAACAAAGAAATACATCATCAAAATGAAGATGATGGATTGAAGGAAAAACAAATCACTCTATCCTCTTCCTTTCATCAATGTAATTCTTTATTTTTTCTCCAATCAGTGCAATTTTCCATTAGGCCTATAATATTCTCTGTGTCTGTAATTCTCTCTTTTATTTTTTCATCTTTAAGTTATTCTTTGTTTCCCAATTCGGCCAACTTGAAATTCCAATATGTATAGTGCTAACAACTTTCAAAAATGTATAACTTTCTTATTGTTTGTCCGATTTTGTTCAAACTTTCACCAATCTGCTTCTCTGAAATTTCTTTTTTGTTTTAGAACTTGCCATATGGGTTGGATTCCCCTTTAAATGACTGTAGACCACTATCCTTGATGTTGCAACCATATAGATATGCATTAGAGTCAAATAATTCTCTAAGGCTTTGCAGTTAAATGAAAACAAGATGGTTCTCGAACCACGAGTCTCGCCCGATTTCGTGGTCAATAAAACGTGGAAAATTTCACCCCCAAAAAAGGATTTTGAACAATTAGCATTTTGAGACCTAGATGCCTTCTAAAGACCCCATCCTCCTACAGATCTGCTTACATACATGTACAACTTGACACTCAAACTGCATATATATGCATATTCATGCGCATGTACATGTAAATGCATGCAAGTACATTGCATATATATGCACATGTATGCATATTTATGCATAATTATGCATAAAGTTGTATGTAAGCATATCTGTATGCACCATATATGTTCCTATACCCAAGGGTCATTAATTACCACCAAGTTTGATCCAAATTGATGGCAGACTTTACAAATGAGCAATTAAAAGTTGTCCAGGTTGTGACATCAAGGAGTTGCCTATTTAAGAGTTTAATAAGTTAAAGTTGTACATGAAAATGCTGAAGTTCATTGACCCTTGACCTTTGACCTTTAACAGTGGTTACCTCACAGTCTTAACTGCAGACTGCAAAAGGGTAACCATCCTACAAAACATTGTCACCAGTAAATAATCCTAGTTGAAGTTGTACATGAAAATGCAAACATTATGCAAAGTTCATTGACCTTTGACCTTTAACTCTAATGGACTTCAGAAAAGGGTAATATTGTTTACACATAACATTCATATGAAACTATAACACTACTGAAATTTCCTACCTGAAGTTATGGAAGAAACCAAAACTTCAACATTTCCATAATGTCTGTCCAGTACATACAGTACACAGTATATGTACAGTATGTATATTGTGTATACACGACACTCCTGAAACTTTAACCAAAACTTTAACTATGTTTAAAAGATTATAAAATTCCTATTCCTTGACAAAACGCAGAGCATGGGGGTGCATATGAAAGAAGACACTCTACTGAATCATTTAAATTAGGTTTCAAGACAATTGGTCACACGGTATTGAAATTATAGACATCTGAACTTAACCATGCAAACTTTAACCTGCAACAGACACTGGCCTGAAACTTTAACCAAAACTTAACCAAGTTTAAATGGTTATAAAATCCCTATTCCTGGACGAAACACAGAGTATGGGGATGGATATGAAAGAGAACACTCTACCGAATCATTTGAATCCAGTTTCAAGACCATTGGTGGCACGGTATTGGAATTCAAGCCATAGGAATTTGACCAAGCAAACTTTAACCTGAAATGTTGACAACGCCGCCGTCGCCGGAAATAGCGACGCCTATGTCCCGCATCTGCTTCGCAGGCGAGACAAAAATCAGGAACAAGAGGTCAAACTACTCATTTACATCATAAGCATTTTATGTTTTACAATTGCAAGGGTTCTAAGCTCTCCAGAAAAACAAAGAGCCCTGGGAAGTTTATGACATTCCTTCTACTTTATATCTCTTTTCACTTTAAAAAGTCCTTGCATGTACCCTTTTGTGAATAGCACGACACATACCAGGTAACTTCTTTCTCGTATCTCTTAGCAGGTACTGCTCGAAGTAGTTGCATACCAATTTTTTGGAGGAAGTTTCCCAGTGGGTGTACCCCCGACCTATAAAGAAAAGAGAAATAGAAAGAAAATCGATGAGGGAAATATAATTTATATCAGAGCAAAATATATATTTTTTGTTTTCAATATTTGCCAGCATCATAACCATGGCAGATCTGAAGTTCCCTATTACGAGGGTATCATAGATAAACGAACAATGCACCAGCCAAACGTCATTAGGGAGCTTCCAATTTGATACCAGACTGATAATTCGGGCCATGTGCACATGTATTGATTTTGTAAGGAATAAGTGCTCCAAATCCAAGACAAGTAAAGTGGCTAACAAACATTGCAGTTGGCAAAATAATGTTAGGTGTACTGCCAATTTTGAATCATCTGTCAAGACTACAAACAAAAAACAAAAAAGTGAATTGGTAAATAATGTTATGCATAATATGTGTCCTGCGTAAAGTGAAGATCTTTGGTTCCTTTTAAAAATAACATACATGTATGTACTAAGACATACCTGAATACGCAATATGGTCCTTTTCCTCCTCCTGCTTCGTCCCTTCTTCCTCCTGATTCATCCCTCCTTCCTCCTGATTCATCCCTCCTTCCTCCTCCTGATTCATCACTCCTTCCTCCTCCTGATTCATCACTCCTTCCTCCTCCTGATTCATCCCTCCTTCCTCCTCCTGATTCATCCCTCCTTCCTCCTCCTGATTCATCCCTCCTACAAACAAGTACAATAAGCATAGAAGCAAAAGATAAGGAGCAGCATGTAAGATGGGGTAAAGACAAGGTGAGAGAAAGCAGTGACAATGTATTAAACCTTCCAGGTACCCCCTTGATGCTTTGCGGAACAAGTCTGCATCGCGAAAACTCGCGGCGACGTTTCACGACTTTTTTCTTTTGGGTCTAGCGCATCTGTTTTGAACAACATTGCAACGCCCAGGTAGGTGGTTCTGAAGTTACACATAAGTTTATACATGCACGTTAACCAAAAATGGCTAAAAAGCATGATTTCATGCAGGATTTCAATACAAATTGTGCTTTCAGCCAAAACTCATAAATGTATGATTATTTTTGCTTCTAACGATTAAAATTAATTGATAACATGCTGTTTATGATCGCACAAGTGTAGCCGACAATTTTCATCGAAAAACAATAACAGACAAAAAGGTCAAAAACATAAGAAATTAATTTTGATATCATGTTTTTGAAGTATATTTGCTAAGAACACTAAAAAGAGTAACTATACCACAAATTAGTATATTTGGAACTTTATTTATTGATTAGGAGCAAAAAGTCTGATTCCATGCATAAATTACACATAAATTAGCATAATTAATAAACATTATTCTTCACAAAACGGATGACGTGCATTCCAATTCCTCGTCGCGATCGTGCAGTCGACGGCCCAGATCTCAAGGAGGCATGGAGCCCCCCCCCCGATATCATCTACCAAATTAGCCAGGCCTAATTCGGGTTAAGGGGAAATATAAAATTTCCCCCTAATTCGGGTTAGGGGGAAATATAATATTTTCCCCTAATTGGGTTAAGGGGAAATATAATATTTTCCCCTAAGTCGGATTAAGGGGAAATATAATATTTTCCCAAAGATGTACATGTACAGTATGTATGTGCATATATATATATACACATGTAAATACAGTTAAATTTGCATGCCTAAGTCAAATCCCTTGGGACCACAGAAATCTGAGAAATTCTACTTCTAAGAGGTAAACTAGACATGAATTCGTCACTTGAGATGAATTAGGTGATCCGCCATGATTTTAATAGATGACGCAGGAAGTTACGATGTAATTGAGAAAAAAAATTGCAACAAAAATAGCAGCAAAAATCTTGAATATGAAGTTTGGAAATGATTAAAGACTTAAGAGATGATTTTTTTTAGAATAATTCATTTGCCATAGGCTTTGTACACAAATTTTGAAGTGCAATATTTCAATAAATGATAAACGTCTGGAAATGAGAATAAACAAATATGAATGTCTTTAATAACCCAGTACAGCTCTGGAAACTTGGGCATGATTGGTAACGTTATGTATTTATTATGATTTTTTTTTGATAATTAACTTGTCATAGGCTTTGTACACAAACTTTAAAGTGCAATGTGTTAACAAATGATAAACGTTTTGAGACGATACTAACAAATATGAAAGAATTATTAAATGCAAAACTTATTTAAATTGCCCACCAAAAAACAAAAAAACAAAATCCTTCAGCGGATTCGAACCCGGGCCACAAAGACGAGAGTCGAGTGTCAACACCAATATACCACGGCGCTTCCACATAGACATAACACGTATATCTGAAAAAGTCTATGACCGATTCTGAATTCACACGTTAATTCGAATTTTTTCACCATGATCCCATAATCTAAATCAAAAATAACATTTCTCGTAGCGTACAGTCTCAGCTACAACATATCAAATTTTGGTATAAACAACTGAGAAAAGTAAAAAGAAAGACTATGCAAATTGTGACTTAGAAAAAAAAATCACCCTCCATAGACATAACACGTACATGTTGCAGATTCGGACTTTTCACCTTTAATCAAAAATTTGACCATGATCCCATCATGTAAATGAAAAATAAATGTCACGTTACTTGTAGATAACATTCTCAGCTACAACATATTGAAATTTGGGACAGTCAAAAGAACATTGTCAAATGTAATGTAAAAAATCAAAAATCAATTTTCTTACTTCAGATGGCAATATGATGATGTCACAACATCCGGTGACCCAAAATGATGCATGAAATGGAATCTACAACTCATGCCCTTTCAGAATATGAAATAAAAATGGAGGTCACATGGCATTCTGAAAAGTTACAGCGAATTCAAAATTTGCCTTTTTTTTACAATTTTTTCAATTTTTGGCATATTTTCGCGCGCGCGGATTTTGAGGTTTAGCGCGCGCATATTACGTTATTATAGGTCAAGAAGGACTGGAAATTAGTTAAAATTGTTGACAATAGTATTAGGAACCCAAAACATGTAAAAAAACGGCGTTTCCACGTTCCGTACGTGCTACACGCGAAAAAACGCGCGCGCAGACGCGCACGCGCTGAATTTTTTTAAATGCTCAAAATGGCCTGAAACGTATAGTAAACTCAAAATAAATTCATTTGGAGCATTTTTCAATTTTGACGCGCGTGCATGCGCGTAGGTTGAAGAGTTGAACCTTGACCTGAAGTTAATGTATGCCAAATTTGGTCAAAAAATAACGTTCCGTTAGGAAGATATGGTCAATAAGAAGATTTTACAAAATGGCGCCTAGATGACGTCACGGATGGGTGATCACAATGAAAACAGATGACCCGTCAAGATTTTATGATGGGACATGACTATGGGAAATTTCATGATGATTGACATTGCCGTTTTTGCATGAATTATGTCACAAAAAAGTGACCAGAAATAAATAATAATAAAAAGATTCTGACGAAATCAAGAGGTTCTCCGCCAATGAATGGCGGATCACCTAATAACACATATTTTGCACAATCTGGTCTAAACAATGCTTCCACGGGCGATTATTTGACGACTTACAGAAGGTCAACTAATACAAGGTTAACTGTAACCTTTATGCAATAATAAACTCACAGTTTGCCAATTTTTTTTTAATTGGTGGGGAAAAAGAGCTGCTCTCTGGTTCTTCATTCTTTTAAAGCTACAGTATTCCCAGGACCCAGAAATAGCTCCATCTCAGTCCTGAACTACCCATATTGTTCCCGTCAGCGCTCCCAGGATGCAACATTCTGATCTCGTAGTCTTATGATTTATGCTCGCTTGAATGATTGCAAATTTATTTGGCATCCTTTACATCCTTACAATAAATTCATTACCAAGTAACAAAGTGAGTATTATGTCTCTTCCAAACATCCCTGTTTTCCCAGGTCGAAAATCCCATAGAGACCAATAGAGACCATTAGAAAAATTCTATTGGTCTCTAATGGTTTCTGTTGGAGTCTATTGGTTTCTGTTGGACCCATAGAATTGAATCCAATAGAGACTATTCAAACCATCAGAAACCAAAAGAAACCAATAGCACCCATAGAAACCAATAGAAATAGAAACCAATAGGACCAATAGAAACCAATAGGACCAATAGAAACCAATAAGACAAATATAAACCAATAGGACCAATAGGACCAATAGGACCAATATAACCAATAAGACCAATAGAAACCAATAGAACCGAAAGGACCAATAGGACCAATAGGACCGATAGGACCAATAGAAAACCAATGAGACCAATAGAACCCAATGGGACCAATAGAAACCAATAGGTCCAATAGAAACCAATAGAAACCAACAGCTAAATCTATCTCATGCATATTCATGATTACTTTATACGTGTTCACAGAAAATTACATTTATCATAATTTGTCAAGCAACTTATGACAATGTACATCAATTTTATGATTTTTATTTTCTTTTGGCAACTAATGACTCATAGATTATTTGTTTAATCATGTTACAATTTCATTCACGTTTTAGCAATAGATATATTGATTATAATGATTACTATAAAACACTAACCAAGAAACAATTCATGTATGTTTATTATATAGAATAGTAGAAGCATTCAGTCAAAATAAAGGATAATCTAATACTCACTCCAAGTGATCTATGTGATGGAGTTGATGCAATTGAGATTAGAATATACTTTTTTTTGGTGGACAGTTGCTAAAATCGATTCTGATTGATCATTATTGATTTACCAATAGAAGCCATTGGACTATTGGTTTCAATAGGGAATTCGGAACATGGGAGCATTAGGAACCCATTGAAAGATCTCTTGGACCAACAGGAACCCATAGAAAATATCTAATGGACCAACAAAACCCATCATAGAAGAAAATATCTAATGGACCAAGAAACCCATAGAAGACATGGGTGGATGCTGGTCCAATAGAAGCTTTCTGTTGGTCCATCAGCATTTCTTCTGTGGGTTTGTGTTGGTCCAATAGATATTTTCTAATGGTTTTGTGGGTCCATCATTTCACTTTCCCTATTGAAACCATTAGACACCAATAGCTCTAATGGTTTCTGATGGTCCAATAGGATCGGATCCTAATGGAATTTCGACCTGGGTTCTGATACAAACCCCATTATAGGCTAATTTACTGAAATATATATCGTTGATCGTTGTGTAAAAAAGGCATAGGGTCCATTTATCAAAACTTACTCTTATGCACTGATTCCTATTGGGGTGCTCTTTAGTTCTATGAGAATACTTTCCCTTTGATATGATAAACTAGATGGAACTTTGACTGCGCGCAGTCAAGAAAGATGCCTCCGTCATAGAGCAAGTTTACAAACCAAAACAGAAGAAATTTTTCAAATTCAAGTTTCTTGTAATCCATTAACAGGTTCTCAGAATATCGTGATTACAACCAATTTCTCATATACATATATGACCCTTTGATCTTTGATCTCATGACCCAAGAATCTACTCAGTTCATTGGAAGATAAGCAAGATACATACATGATCTAAGTTTGGCAGGAATCCATCAATCTGTTCAAATGATAATGCGATCACAAGCTATTTGCATACATAATGAGCCGCATGACCTTTGACCTTGACCTCATGACCCCAAATCTAATCAGTTCATCGGCTCTGCGAGTAACATACATGACCTAAGTTTGGCAGGAATCCAACAATCATTTCTTGAGATAACGCGATCACAAGCTGTTTTTGCATACATAATGAGCCCTGTGACCTTTGACCTCGTGACCCCCAAATCTAATCAGTTCATCGGCTCTGCAAGATACATACATGACCAAAGTTTGGCAGGAATCCATCAATCGGTTCTTGAGATAACGCGATCACGAGCTGTTTTTGCATACATAATGAGCCCTGTGACCTTTGACTTTGACCTCGTGACCCCAAAATCTAATCAGTTCATGGGCTCTGCAAGATACATACATGACCAAAGTTTGGCAGGAATCCATCAATCGGTTCTTGAGATAACGCGATCACGAGCTGTTTTTGCATACATAATGAGCCCTGTGACCTTTGAACTTTGACCTCGTGACCCCAAAATCTAATCAGTTCATGGGCTCTGCAAGATACATACATGACCAAAGTTTGGCAGGAATCCATCAATCGGTTCTTGAGATAACGCGATCACGAGCTGTTTTTGCATACATAATGAGCCCTGTGACCTTTGAACTTTGACCTCGTGACCCCAAAATCTAATCAGTTCATGGGCTCTGCAAGATACATACATGACCAAAGTTTGGCAGGAATCCATCAATCGGTTCTTGAGATAACGCGATCACGAGCTGTTTTTGCATATATAATGCGCCCTGTGACCTTTGACCTTTGACCTCGTGACCCCAAAATCTAATCAGTTCATCGGCCCTGCAAGATACATACATGACCAAAGTTTGGTAGGAATCCATTAATCGGTTCTCCAGATAACGCGATCACGAGAACGGGACGTACGGACGGGACGTACGTACGGACGTACGGACGTACGGACGTACGGACGGACGGACGCGGACAACCCGAAAACATAATGCCTCCGGCTACTTCGTAACGGAGGCATAAAAATATTGTTAAACATATGATGGTAAATAAAAACGCTCTGTACATACCAGGAGAGGACATCAATGGCTCTTCTTGGTCTCGTTCTTCTGATTCTATGATAAAAAATATA